ATGTTTTGGAATAATAATTTCGTTTCCTTAGACTGCAAAAGCTTTTGTAGCTCCGTATCGAGCTTTTGATGCTTTGCCATTTCTTGATAGTCTATATCAGGGGTCGAGAAGGTATTGATATTTAATCTCGATAGTGCATCTGCTGCCTCATTTGCATTGCCTTTAATATAGCGTATATCAGCTGCAAATTGTGAAATGAATTCTAGTTGACGAATTTCGCGCGGACTGTATTTATCATGATTGTGCATCAAGGACTTAGTTAGAGGTTTGTGATCAGTATATATCGTGAAAGAATTGCCTTCTAACATATAGCGAAAGTGTTTGATGGCTAAGTAGATAGCTAACAGTTCTCTACCGAATGTGCTATATTTTGTTTGCGTTGCGTTGAGCTTTTTTGAGAAAAATGCAAGGGGTTGCCATTGTTCATTGACACGTTGCTGAAGTACAGCACCTACTGCTACGTTAGAAGCGTCGGTCATTATTGCTAAAGGTGCATCAACCTTTCGTCGTGCGAGTAATGCCTCTGTGCTTAAAGCGCTTTTCAACTGATCAAATGCTTGAATTGCTTGCGGTGTCATTGCTAATGATTTAGCTCGTCCCCTTAATAAATCAGTTAGTGGTTTTGCTAAGTCTGCACATTTAGGGATAAAACGTCTGTAAAAGTTGATCATCCCAAGGAAACGTCGTAGTTTCTTGAATGAATCAGGCAAAGGATAATTTTTGATAGCTTGTGTTTCCTCAGGAACTGGTTTAATGCCTTGCTTATCAAGTACGTGACCTAAAAAGGTGAGGGATTGTTTTCCGAACTCACATTTGTCAGGATTGACCGCTAACCCATACTCGTTTAGCTTCTCAAAAAGCATTTTCAAATGCGTTAGATGTTCATTTTCATCTTTGCTTGCTATAAGTAGGTCATCTATGTAAGCATACACAAACGGTAAGCCCCGTACCACTTGGTCGATAAAACGCTGGAAACTTTGTGCAGCATTCCTTAATCCGAAAGGCATGCGGACGAATTCGTATAGTCCAAAGGGGGTAGTAATGGCTGTTTTAGGAACATCGTCCGGATGAATTGGAATGTGATGGTAAGCACGGACGAGATCAACTTTTGAAAAGATCGACACGTCAGATAGGCTATGAGTGAAGTCATGCAGATGTGGGAGAGGATATCTATCTGGTACGGTCCGGCTGTTGAGAGCTCTATAGTCACCGCACGGTCTAACTTCGGAAGAGTTTTTCTTAGGTACCATATGAAGCGGTGATGCCCACGGACTATCGGAGGGGCGTATGATGCCCAACTCAATCATTTTGTTGAATTCGTTCTTTGCGATAGCCAGACGAGAGGGATCAAGGCGTCTTGGACGTGCGAACACTGGTGGACCCTCTGTCTTTATGTGGTGTACGACGGTATGCGTCGGTTTGTCGTGTTTGAAACTCGGTCGTAATAAATCTGGAAACTGATTAAGTAAATTGACGTATTTGTCGTTCTCTTGATGAGGTTTAACTAATAAATGTATGGAAGTCTCATTTGATATAATTCCTCTAATTTCTTTACTTTGTTCGGCAAGGACAAGTTTCCTATTTCTGACGTCTACCAGTATTTTGTGGAATTGCAGAAAATCAATGCCGATTATAGGAACGAGGACGTCCGCTATGATGAAACTCCAGGAAAAATTAGATTTAGGACCGAAATTTAATTGCAACCGCCTTTTGCCGTACGTCTTGATGTCAGACCTGTTTGCAGCTTGTAATTTTAGTTTGGGGTCAGGTGTGTTTTTCTCGAGTGCAGTAGGTGGTACTACACTAACCTCTGCCCCAGTGTCGACTAAAAACTGTGTGCCGGTTCTTTTGTCTGTAACATATAATAGACGACTGTCTTGAAGTTTGTGGTCAGTGAGTGCAGTCGTCATTAACCTGCGGTCTTGACGTCCCTTTTTCTGTGTGCTTGCAAAGTTACAAGGCGGAATACATTTTCTAGCTTGTTTGCCATATGTTCTATGGTACCAGCAAATGTTGTGTCTAGTAGTGCTTGGACTACGTCGTCTACGGCTTGTGGATGTTCTTCTACGCTTGCTGTGGGAGGCATTCAATAATTGGATGTGAGCTATCTGTTTCGTAAGGATATCAACTGATCGTCGTAACTCGGCGATCTCGTCAGCTGAACTTGATTGGATTTGAGATACAAGGTGAGTCTTGGACCGTTCGTAAATTCTGTCGGCTATGTCTGCTAGCCTATCAAAATCAACGTCTTCGTCTCCAATTGCTAGTATCTGTTGAATGTTTTGAGGAAGACGTCTGAGCCACAATTGATATAGTAGACGTTTGTCTACTGTACGACTTCCTAATAAGTTTGTCATGTGGCGTTTTAACTGTGACGGTGTATTGTCACCTAGCTCGACGTTGGCTAAAAGTTGATCGATTGTCTGTTGGTCAGTGAGAGATGTGACACGAATGACCTCTCTTTTTAGACAATCGAATGGTGAGTCAGGATCCGGCTTAAAAATGACATCCGGCACTTGTTCAATGACGTCATCTGGCAGCAGTGAATTTGCATAACTAAATTTCGTACTCTGGTTTGTGATTTTGTTTGCTACAAAAAAGCTTTCTAAACGAGCGAACCAGAGTTCAGCCTTTCGTGAATTAAAAGTAGGTAAAGGTACAGAGATGGCACCCACGGAAATAGATTTAGATGAAAGGCTTAGCGAATTATCAAGTGCCATGATACGAAGAAGCAATAGTAATAATAAGCCGAGGATTGTAATATACAATATGAAGAGAAATCAAAAATAACAACAAGAAATATATATAAGACTCACCGAAAAGAAAAACTGTCACTTTTGGTTTAAATATGCGAATATACAGCAATAATTCCAAAGGAACAATGCTATGGATGGATTTATTATGACTGTTAATGAATTGTTAATAATTGTAATAGTAATTCCAATGTGAAGTTCTTTAAGATACGCTTGGAGAGTATGCAGCAGAATTCGTAGAGGAATGGTGTGTGTTCTAAAAGCGGTTCACCAATATGTTATGGATAATGTCCTCAATATCTGACTCCAAATAATAATATCCCGTAACTGAGTATTTTAGCTAGGCTTAATCTCCTAGTAGAATTGCGAATTTACTCGAGATTATTAAAAAGCCTGAACACCAGTTATAGAGATAGTTTATTGTTAATGAATAATAATAATCCACAAGCGCACGATGAGCAAGCACACGATGAAACAGAGAGAGTGAGTGAGTCTGTTAAAAATCCATATATATTTGAGAGTTAATCGGGTGTGGATAAATTATCGATTATCTGCACATTGCAACCAATAGGAAAAAAGCTTAAGAGTTAATGTACAGACATACATTCGATCATACACACCGAAATTAACATAGTGAATTGAGTCTGAGTTACAATAACTAGATAAATGATACAGTAGCCAAATGGGCTTGCCACAGTGATAATAAATAAAAGAAAGATTGCATACAAGGATATAGTGCAGGAAGAAGAAATTAGTTCTTAGCAAGAAAGATATAAAGCGATTTCAATCTTATAGTTTAAGGGAAGACAGAAAGTGTATACATCTATGCCATTGTGATCGATTCAGAGTCATGTCAACCAGAGTGTCCAATCATTGGTTGCGATAGTCAAACGGACCCCAATCAAGTAGTCTGCACCTACCAACATGGTTCACACCAGAAGTTAGTGTCTCCAAGCACTGATGCCACGTTTTCGTTTGGCCGCCCCCAACTTTCTTCCAACTGTCTCCAACATTAGTCAGCATTGCGCGTCTTGGTAAACGGTGTTCAGGCATACGTAACACGTGGCGTGACCATCTCAGTCGATGAAGATTCACAATATTATCAATTGATTTACTACTATTCACTAATACCCTACGTCTAACCTCACTATTACTTACCCGGTGATCCCAGCAGCTGCGAGCAATATTTCTAAGGCATCTGTGATCAAACACTAGTAACTTACGAATATCATCCACCCTTGGTGACCACGTTTCGCAGTCGCAAAGTAAAACAGAACGAACTGCTGAGCAGTATACTTGCGTCCCTTAATTGGTAGATGGATATCTTGCCTTCGCCATAGATGATATAAGTTGACAAAAGCCAAACGAACTTTCTGAATCCGTGCTGAGATTTCGTCAGACACCAACGCGTTTGGGCCGGTCAGACTTCCAGAATAAGTGAAGTTGTCGACGCGTACGACTACTCCACTTCCTATCCTTAGTTCAGGTGTTGACTCAGGCCAGTCCGGAAGCAACATCTTGCATCTAGAGGGTAAGAAACGCATCACAAACATCCTGGCATTGTTGCTCAGTGTTTACAGAAGACTGTATTTTATCAGCATCTTCACCAAATAGGACTACATCATCTGTGTATTTCAAGTCAATAAGTGGACCTTTTGGTAGGAAATCAGTTCCTGAAAATTCAGTCGACGAGAACGTTACCTGCAGCATTAGGTTTATGACGACACTTGAGATGGTTCTTCTTGAATGGACCAAACTGATTATACCGGTGGCACTTGCAATTCTTAAACGGAAAAATGTTTACAAAATATCATGAGCCACAATCCTAGCATATGGAGGGCAATGAGCCAGCAGAATTAAATAACGTCAGTTCTTTTTGTTTAATACCAAACTGGAAAGTCTTTATTGTAATGGCTATTCACCTGGTATTTACTTAATCTCCAAAACAGCTGTATAATGTTTAGTGTTAGTGAGCCTCCGACATTCAGTTGTCACCATTTATATCATTTTAGAGTTTTATTCAATGAACGACAGAATTGAAGTAAGAATGTGTAAATCTTTTACATTTTTCAATCCATAAATAAAAATCAAACATTTAAACTAATCAGTCGTTATTTCATGGCCTTTAAGCCATTGTCACTCTAGACTGATTTTACTAGCATACGCTAAATAAGCATCTAAAAGTTAAACAAGAGAATTACAATTATATGAAGTTATGATAATATAACACGAAATAACATAAGCTACCTCATCACAGAGAACCAGACCCACAGAGCCTTTGTGTAAAACGGAAGCATGCAATCGAAAAGTTTCATAAGAGATTATTAAAATTGGCGAAGGAATTCGACGTCCGGTTTGTGAAAGAAAACCAGCTATTGAAACAAATTGAGAAGTAAGAAAAACAAATAAATCAAGTCAATATCAGTGTTTACGATACCCAGATAACGTTCACTAATATTGAGTAGGAGACAAGATACATTTATTCAGGTATAAGTAAATGAACTGTAAGCACATTGTTTAAGTCATAAAGCCATTGACTCTAATTAAAACAGAAGGGAAATAATAATCAAATACATCTTAACAAAGACGTTATTTATTAAGAGTCCAAAATATGCATGTACAAACAAGGCCCTACGAACAGTGAGTGTTTAAAGATGCCCTAATTAAAAGGTTAAATAGAAGATACTAACAAGTTGAAATCAAGATTTTTTTCTCATGAATATTTATTACTCGGTTCTAGTGAGAATTATCTTACCTAATTTGCTATCAATATCTTCCTTACTCCCAGAATCGATAGCCAATGGATGTATTTTCCCGTGTAACCACTTTTGAAATTCATTGTACCAATTTCTTAGTAAGCTACTAGGCGTAACAACTACTGCCTTGTCGATTATTGGTTTACCTTCCGGACCTTGACGCTAAGAGAAATTATAAAACAAAGGAAAGTTAAGCACATCAATAACTTATCAGTAGAGTTCTAAAATATTATCTAATGAGTTTTTAAAACACAAAACCAAACCAAGTGAAACCAATGAACAGGAGTTTATCGGTTGACCAGGAAAATGAGCAATTACATGTGAGAACATTAAGAGGGAGAGCGGACTACTCACCAATGGCATATCAAGCATATTTCATAACAAATATCGAGGCTGTCTCTCATCCTGTCTGAATATATTTTTAGTCTTGTGTAATGTAAATTAATGTAATTAATGTAAATTAACTCCGCCTGTAGCTCTAATAGGGTTACTGCCGGTCCCAAGCCCGGGTAAAGGAGGAGGGTTGGGCATGGGGTTAGCGTCCCCATCCCGTAGAAAACTAACTCGCTAAAAAAACGCTTACCAGAAAAAATTATTCAAACCATTTAAACTCTGCCCTGGGAGTTAGAAGGTCTTCAGTTAGAAGAATTATGACGCTTCATGGTGAAAGCCGAGTTCCTTCGGAAGCCACGAGGCCGATGCCCCTTCTAACAACCAGAGCAAAAATTTTTATAGGTACATGGAACGTTCGAACAATGTGGGAAACCGGGAAGACCAGTCAAATAGCAATGGAAATGAGGAGATACAACTTAGCAGTACTGGGAATCAGCGAAACCCACTGGACCCAAGCTGGACAGAAAAGGCTAGCTACGGGAGAGATGCTGCTATACTCCGGTCACGAGGAGGACAATGCTCCACACACTCAGGGAGTCGCTCTTATGCTGTCCAAAGTAGCACGAAATGCACTTGTAGGATGGGAGTCTCACGGATCCAGAATCATCAAAGCATCATTCAAAACAAAGAAGGAGGGGATCTTAATGAATATTATCCAATGTTATGCACCCACCAATGATAGCAACGACGACATTAAAGATCAGTTCTACGAGCGGCTACAGTCAATCATTGAGAAATGCCAAGAAAGGACCTAACTATTCTGATGGGAGATCTAAATGCCAAAGTCGGAATAGACAACACCGGATATGAAGATATCATGGGACGACATGGACTGGGACAGAGAAACGAAAATGGAGAAAGATTTGCAAATCTATGTGCATTCAACAAATTGGTCATAGGAGGCACAATATTTCCACACAAGCGTATACACAAGGCTACATGGATCTCACCGGACCACACTACAGAGAACCAAATAGATCATATTTGCATCAACAAAAAATTCCGAAGGACAATGGAAGATGTAAGAACCAGGAGAGGTGCTGACGTAGCTTCAGATCACCACCTAGTTGTAGCCAATTTAAAACTGAAGCTAAAAAAGAACTGGACAAGTGGACCAACAGCACTACAAAGGTTCAATACAGCCTTCCTTCGAGATACTGACAAGCTCAATGAATTCAAGATAGCTCTCAACAACAGGTTCCAAGCCTTACAAGATCTACTGAAAGAAGAAGAAACTAGTATGGAGGACAACTGGAAAGGCATCAAGGAAGCATTAACTTCAACGTGTCAAGAGGTTCTGGGCCTAAAGAAACACCATCATAAGGAATGGATCTCTATAGAAACACTGGACAAGATCAAAGAAAGGAAGAACAAGAAGGCAGCAATTAACAACAGCCGAACACGAGCAGAGAAAGTTCAAGCACAAGCTGAATACATAGAAGCAAACAAACAAGTGAAGAGGTGCATTAGAGCCGACAAGAAGAAATACGTGGAAGAACTAGCAACGACGGCAGAAAAAGCTGCTAGAGAAGGAAATATGAAACAGCTTTACGATACAACGAAGAAACTAGCAGGGAAATACAGTAAACCAGAGAGGCCGGTCAAAGACAAAGAAGGCAAGCCAATCACCGAAATTCAACATCAGCGTAACAGATGGGTGGAATACTTCGAGGAACTCCTGAATAGGCCGGCTCCAATGAATCCACCGGACATCGAAGCAGCACACATAGATCTTCCTATAGATGTCAACCCACCAACGACGGAAGAAATTAGAATGGCCGTCAGACAAATCAAGAACGGGAAAGCAGCAGGACCCGACAACATACCAGCTGAAGCACTGAAATCAGACATCGAAGCAACCACAAGCATGCTGTACCTTCTATTCAAAAAGATTTGGGAGGAGGAACAAGTGCCAATGGACTGGAAAGAAGGACACCTCGTCAAGATTCCAAAGAAAGGAGATCTGAGCAAATGTGAAAACTACAGAGGCATTACACTACTGTCAATACCAGGGAAAGTCTTCAACAGAGTGTTGCTGAACCGTATGAAGGATGCAGTAGACGCCCAACTTCGAGATCAACAAGCTGGATTCCGTAAGGATCGGTCGTGCACAGACCAAATTGCAACACTACGGACCATCGTCGAACAATCAGTGGAGTGGAACTCATCACTATACATCAACTTCATTGATTATGAAAAGGCATTCGACAGTGTAGATAGGAGGACATTATGGAAACTTCTTCGACACTACGGAGTTCCTGAGAAGATTGTCAACATTATCCGGAACTCATACGACGGACTACAGTGCAAAGTAGTGCATGGAGGACAGCTGACAGATGCATTCCAAGTAAGGACTGGAGTCAGACAAGGCTGTTTACTCTCTCCCTTCCTCTTTCTTCTGGTGGTCGACTGGATTATGAAGACCTCAATATCTGAAGGAAAACACGGAATACAATGGACAACTCAGAATCAATTAGACGATTTGGACTTCGCAGACGACCTAGCCCTCCTATCACGTACACACGAACAGATGCAGATGAAGACAGCCAGTGTAGCAGCAGTCTCTGCATCAGTAGGCCTCAGCATACACAAAGGGAAAACCAAGGTCCTCAAATTCAACACGCAGAACAGCAATCAAATCACTCTTGATGGCGAAACTCTGGAAGATGTAGAGTCCTTCACATACCTAGGAAGCATCATCGATGAACAAGGAGGTTCAGATGCAGACGTAAAGGCGAGGATCGGCAAAGCAAGGGTCGCATTCCTACAATTGAAGAACATATGGAACTCAAAACAACTTTCAACCAATATCAAAGTGAGAATCTTCAATACGAACGTCAAGGCAGTTCTACTGTATGGAGCTGAAACTTGGAGAACTACAACAACCACCATCAAGAAGGTACAAGTATTTATAAATAGCTGCCTACGCAAGATACTCAACATCCACTGGCCGGATACCATCAGCAATAGCCTTCTGTGGGAGAGAACAAAGCAACTTCCAGCTGAAGAAGAAATTAGGAAAAGACGATGGAAATGGATAGGACATACATTACGCAAACCGTCAAACTGCATCACGAGGCAAGCCCTAACTTGGAACCCTGAAGGGAGGCGAAAAAGAGGAAGGCCAAAGAACACATTGCGTCGGATTATAGAAGCAGATATGAAAAGGATGAATTACAACTGGACGGAGCTAGAAAGGATTGCCCAGGACAGGGTTGGATGGAGAATGCTGGTGAGTGGCCTATGCTCCTTCACGAGGAGTAACAGGCGTAAGTAAGTAAGTAAGTAAGTAAGTAAGTAATGTAAATTGATGAGACATGAAGAATTGAGTTTTATATTAGGTTTGGTATTTGAGAAAACCAACCAACATCTGGAAAAATGTTTTTGTAAGATTACTCATACGTCTACAGCATTATTATAATACACAGAATGTTGGTAGAAAAGTAATCTAATGCAAACTTTGAATATTGGAACGTGACATTTATTTCAACAAATATCAACGGAATACATATTATATTCGCGTGCCAACTTACGGCCGTACTGTATTTGGTAGCTAGGAATATTATCCTAGTTGACCAAACTAAAGACTGAATGGAGTTTAAACTTGTAACTCAATAGCTAAGAGATAGGCGTCTAATATTGCTTAAGGATAACTCATTTTTTCACTGTTGCTACGTTACACAAAGTAGATCAGGTTATGGCCTTCATATAAAGAAGAAAAATTTACCATATAAAATCAGTAAAGAAAACCCGTTCTGATTAAAAAAATACACATCAATAAGTATTTACTGGATTTCATCCAGCTTTATCGCTTCCGGTTAATCCAAGGTCAGATGCTAAAGACTAACTTTATAATGATCATTAGGTTTGATATTATGTTTAATGACTTTACTGCTTTAGTTTTGAAATAAATTAGTTCTAGAAATTTCTACGTAAACACTTTGTAACTTGTTACTTCAGATATATTTAAACAATTTAAGTGAGTTGTCATCGCGTTTAGCATGGAGCAACTTAAAACATTATCAGAAAATATAAGTATGGATTAACAATTACACTGCACTAACCAATAATGTCCAAATTAATGTGATACATTGCAATGTTTTGCCAAGACCCATTTCGTCTGCCATTATACATCCATGATTATTAGGTATTTGTACACCAGTAACACAATCATACATAAACTTGACACCCTATAATGATAAAGTAATATTTGAAGACAATGAACAATGAAAACAGATGAATCTAAAAAATTAATTTCCTCAAATGATGAAATATCCAAGCCAAGTTAGAACACCAGTGAATAATCTTACTGTATCGTTTATCGAGCGTACTTTCGCTGATGTTGCTTTTTTTGCAACAGCTTCCAGTGACAAGTAGAAATTTGTGTTGTAGTAAAATATAAACTTATCAAGTCAAGAACAAAACATTTTGTGTGAATTTGTCAATAAAATCAACAATAATAGCTTACTCAACAGATACGCGTGCAATTCACAAAATATAAGTGCAAAACTTGACCAGAGCACGGGGAGATATACTCACGAAATCATTAAATACGTCTGGTTAAAATGCATGATTTTCTTTAACATCCACTTACAAGGTAAACTAATTGTTAGTAACTTACTTCACGCTGATGAGGACGAAGAATTTTCGATAACATTGGGTCGACGACGACATGAACTAGCTTCTTAGTTCTAGAAAATATTTAGTGAGTTATATTTATAATTACGATTCTTGTTTAAGAGCGTCATGGGCTGTCACTTCTGGAGGTGAATACAAAACTAGGGCATCTTCTTCAAAGGGTCATGTAAAGCAACCCTAGATGTATTACGACGAACACCCAAGACCCTTACATCACTTGAACTACCTAAAAATAGAAGTATTATGTAGAAATCTTACCATTATAGTTAATAATTGGCACTCGAAAAGGCTTTGATAATATATTGCGAATAAGATTTTCCTAAAAAGATTTACAATAAAACGATTTCTACATACGTGAGAATCGGGGTAGTCGCATGCAAGTGATGACTTTCTGAAAGAGTTGGAGTCAACTGGAGAATGATCTAGGACATTTTTTTCATGCAAAACAGTTCTGTACTTTTTAAGAGATGGCTATAATAATAGATTAGGTGAAAATCAGATACCTCAGGTGCACTGGACGACTCTCTTGTACAATTTAATTTACTCGGTGCTAAGCTTCTTCTCTTATAGGTTTAGAAAATTAATAACCGCACAAACCATAACATAACTTCAAAATGAGGGGTCAATAAATGAAGTCAGTTTTTTGGTTAACAATGTTAGCAGAAAATTATGTGATAACGTTGTGGACCCAAGATACCTAAAATACGAAAAATAAATTATAAATAATCATTGACAAGAAAACGTATAACAAAATGGTGCAGGTAGTAAAAAACATTTTAATACGATTGAACACCGAGAACTATGGAATATAGGACGATACGTTGCATGAAGATGAAAGATACGAAACTACACGAGAGCTAGTAAAAGAATATGAAACGATAAGACCCAAACATGAACAACCACTCCCAAAAATGAGAACCATCAAAGAAAAAACTGGTTCGAAATTTATGTCCTGGTTTTATATCTCTGTACGACCCAACATAGGACCATGTATGGAGGTTCCCATCACTGATTGCTGAACTCTGAAACGTAGTTTGAAGACTATAAGTAATTATGTTGATCACAGAGTCTTGTGATACAGGAGTCATAATAGTTCGTGACGAGATCTTTTATTGACGATGTATGAAGCAAAAAATTATGGATGATTAAGCAGAATCTATACATGTGTTAAGCTCTATATTGAGTTTGATTGACCTTGTCAAATAAGTTATGGAGGCTATTCCGGGAAACTGGATCAATCATGACTAGAAACCTTGAATTATATAACTATTGGTTTGAACTGTGAAGGGATCATTGGCTTTCTAGATGCCGTTTCCAAGGCAACTGGAATTGATGGCCAGTACAAGATAGCTTTATCTTACTTTTACTGAAAGCTTAGCAACAATTATGACTATTATCGGAATTTCCAGTTGATTTGCAGGACTAAAACAACCAGCACGGGTTTAAAAGGGTGCTGAGAAAATAAACCCTCTTCTGAAAAAGTCAAATTGATTTTTGAATAGTTTTATGGCGTTTTTGGTTGGTAGGTCAGGAATAGTTCCTTTAAATCGGGAATCATCCACGGACCTCCAGAATATACGAGATTTGTGTAAAAAGTATTTGCTTTCCTAATATCAGTATGTCTTAGATTACAATTCTTTCGTGGTTATTATTATTCCACACTCCATTAAACTAAAGATTAGAGACTGATTGGGTTACCCAGTTAGATTTTTTGACGTAATTTTACTCTCAATAATTTTGGAATAAAACTGAAAACCAATCCATGAGTAATGAACATCAGTGACTGTATACTTATGTACACTGTTGTTGTTAAGCCCCAGTGGACAAATATAACGAAATTATTGAGGCCTACACAATCTTATTGTATTTACCTTTGTAAAGATTAAAGAAGGTTGAAAAGCAGTCAATTGTTTTTTTTAGTTTGGAAAGTAACTGATAATTTTTGCATTATACTATTTAATCATTAGCCTTGTATAGTCCCAACACTCATTTGTGAACGAAATTCGACTCAGAAACCATTTAATGTGTAGAACAACACACTCAATGACGATAACATACCGTTTACAAGTATCACTTGTGTCTCATTTAAGTTGGTAAATATTATTAAGTCTGATTCATTAAACTGCTTGATTCCATCTCAAAAAACAAAGCCATCTACTAAAATGATGAAAAAACACAGTGGAAGAACAGATAACACAAGGGAAAGGAAACATCAAATTCAGATGAAACTGGCAACAGACATGTGGAGAAAGACTGCAACATCCATGGGAAATGAGTAAAAAGCGAAATCTATCATGCGCTTTTCTTTAATCCCATTTATAACCCCTCATTTCGTTAGTTATTAGAAGATAGCTTCGTTTTACACGTTTTTATGAGTTTTATGCAAGCATTCAAACCTACATATGGCAAAATAAGATAACAAGCGCCAAATAGAGGAATTTTATCGAATTATCTAAAGATTGCTATATATCGTGTTCACGTTTTTCCCTAGTTAGTTCCTAATGAACAACTAAATACGCCCTAGTCTTAACATGCTTTATTAGGTATATTACCTAAAAGCAATATACTTCCTTAAATTACTGAGGTCATTATACTGAGTAGTACTACGTATTATATAGTCCCATTTATGTCTCCCCTTTCACGAAAAGCTAACAAGCAGCCAAATCGAATGGACTATTCTACTTTCGCGTCCATAAGTGCAGCTGTAGTGTTGTAGACAACACACGACTTCGGACTTTCAAGGGAAATGAATAATGTTTCTGTTTGAATTGCAGTTGAATGCAGGCTGTTTTTATTGTGCTTAGGTCATCTAGTTCTGCGTAGTAAGTTACTATTATCACTGTACAGAAACTATCAAAATCTCTCATTATCAGTCTAAGTATTGGTACATCCAAAGTTGCACACAATCTTCTCCAACAGTTCGCGACAGTTTGAATAACTATTTATTGAGACACGAAATTTGTTGCGCTAGGGGACACGGTTTACAATGTACATAGTTTAAAGAACATTGTTTATGATATCATTAAACATGATTGTCTAGAATAATTTTTCAGCCTTTCCTTTAAAATAATATACGCAAAAATTAGGTGCTCAGTACACTTCAGATTCACGGTAACTAAAATAGGAGCACGGCGGCGTGCCAAAGCAGTTTGCGTTCAAAGTCTATTGAATTAGGGCATGTCAGATTATATGAATAAGTCAGCAGTTAGTTATGATTTCTCTAATCCGATCTCCTAATTTCGGGGAAATATGACCCATTTTTGGAAAGCAACTATAGTAAATTTTGAGGGAATGGAACCAAAACCCCGAAATTATCCCAGATCATTAGAAATTCGTCAATATTTTCCCAGAATCTTATTACACTTTAAGGAACTCGGCTAATTTCATCAAAACCCCAAAGTTTTTCATGATTTTGGGGAAACTTTGGAGAAAGTCACAGAATTTTCCATGGCTTTGGGGTTCTTTCCAAAAATTTCTCCTAACTTTTGCGCTTTACCCCAAAATCTCACCGTAATCTTATTACAGTTTTTGCAAACTCATGATGGGCGTTCATCAAGTTTGTCACACTAGTGTGACAGCTGTTGGCTGCTACTCCCCCACCATCTCTTTCATTACACCCTACACCATTCGATTGAAAGAAACAATTAGCATTCGTCTGGTCGAACAGGAAGAGGGACCACAGTCTGTAGCGGTGAAAACTTACCTGCATCACCTGCTTTTTGAAAAAGTGGTATGGACTGAACCCTTTTTGTTCCGTGTCTATTTAACGTACTAAAACAATGCCGAAGAGTGGTGGTGAAAAGTATGCTGAAAATGATAATCATGTCACATAATATTATGATGTATTGTAACTACCTCGTAAAATGTTTTGACAATACCCTGAAAAATAGACTTTTGCTCACAGGACCGCGTAACACAGATTTCGGAGTTTTTCCCCAGAATCGCCTGTAAATTTGAAGAAACCACCGACTTGCCCATCCATCTGAGATTTCCTCAAACTTTGAGGAAGAATAGGGATGTTTATATGACCTTGGGGAAACCCTGTATGACCATGGAAATGTCACTAGGCCCTAGACAAATCATCCTGTAGTCAGGGCATTAATATCCACAGTTTACCAACCCTCGTCAAGGTCAAGGACAACCAACGCACGTCAGTTAGTTGCACTTCATTTACTAGCTCACGCAGCAGTCGTTACACTGTTTCTTTTACTACCCCATACTAATATATCTCTTTGATAACGTCCTTTGTGTTTTACGGTCATCAAAGCAGTCATTATACATGAGTACGACAAAAAGGTAATTCACGTTAGCCACTAACCTCGGAATGTGACTTCGATGTTAGCCAGTGGTCTAACTTGAGCAGGCCCCCAATCATCAAACATATATCATTTACGTTGCTGACCTACATCCCCGAAACTCCCTTCAAAACCAGGAGACTAGATGAAATTTCTGAAAATGTTAAGAAGAACCCAAAAAATTGTGAGGCTTGTCAACAAATCACAAAAACATCAAACTTTTGCCGAAGAACATAAAAGGATTTCTCAGACGTTTTCGAAAATTATTGGGAAGTATTGAGAAAAACCCAAAATTCTCACAACAATTTTTGGAATTTTCTCAGTTTCAAGTTATTTTTGGTGAAATTTCGTGGGTTTGTGCCATTTTCGCGAAATTTTACCCAAAATCAAGGAATCCGGCCATTGGTAGGGGTCTCTAAACATAAACTCGTTTCACATAAAAACATATGGTTTAACTAACATTGTTCGGTGTAGCGATTCCCGTCTAATCTGAAATTACTTTTGACAGTAAGGCAGTGTGCAGAGTAGAGCGTGTGGAAGAGAGTAGATGTGAGCCAACGACTCAACAAGAGCACTGTATCAATAAATAAATCCCAAGAATCAATATCTCATAAGTCTTCGACATTTGATGCTGACCGCATTTGTTTCACTGGGCCCACCCAACTGAAGGTGCTTGGTCACGCATCCGTACCAGATCACGACTGGATACGCCTTGCTACACATCTAAAACAACTAAGCAACTTGAATCAAACGCTTCCCGATATATCCAAACTCTGTCAAATATATCTTCGAACTCCTTCATCCATGACCCCTGATTCGACTGGGTTGGTACACATCGATTTAAAGGTGTTATTGGTAAAGGCGTTGTCAAACTCTGAATACTTGTGGCATCTTTAGCACCAAGATGGTTTTACATTCAACAGGTAAAGATGTAGATAATAACCAACATCAACACAAGAAAAAACATAACATGTCCATATTGTAATTTGGAAATAGAAATTTGAAGCAGATGACTTAAGTTCCTGAACCCGTTCCAACTCAGGTATTTTACAACTGACCATTTGTGACTATGCCTTGCTTACTTGTAGAACTTATGGTCTACTATAATATTAGTGCTGCTCTAATAATAGACCTAATCCTAAATTTGTAGATTCGTCATGATATAACTGCCTAATCTATAAGATCTTGCGTGGAAGTCAAACCATCGACTACGCCAACTCACTGTATCGTATCAATTACCAATACGTGATGTAGAACAAGGTTAGGCTAGAGAAAGAACAATATATTTAATATGAATAGGAGATA